AGCTATTGTCAACTGCTGACTTCAGTTGTGCAGGATGCTCTTTGGATGTTGGCACTAAGCCATAAAATCCTGATTTATAAGACTTCAGACTGCACTTGAGAGTGAAGTTTATTGTTTTTTGAAGATTTAAGGCAGAAATTAAGACTAAGAGTCAGAGTCTGTAGTTGAAATGTTAACAGTTAATTAAATTCAATAAATTAAATACAAAATTCTCAGGACTGATTTTGAAGCGTTTTTCACTGGTAAGAATAGCTTTAAAGCCCTTTACTAGCGCTGACTTCGCATCACACTGTTGATCTATGGCTCCTCCGGCACATTCTTCAAAGGACTGATGTAGGCCTGGTTCGAGATATTGGATAGAATGGGATATAAGTTTGACATTTTCTTCTATTTTGCGTATACTAGATTGGAAAGCATCTATTTGATTTTTAAGTATGATGCTTCAGTATTCTGGAATTATGTTAGATATGTCTGCGTCGGAGCACCTGTCAATGCAGCTTCGAATGCTCTCTGTCTTAGAAACATTCCTTTTATCATCCCAAGAAAATGTTATATAAACATATAAATTGAACAAATTCATCGAAAGTAAGTATTGACAAGAAATTTTCATAGCTACACCCCAATGGGCAGAAACAAAAACCTGATTCATATTAATTAGTTGTAGGCTATCGGTAGACAGCCCTGTTTGAACTAGATTTTGTTCTTGTTGGCTGTTATCAGTCAGCCATATCCACAACTGCAGGGAAACTGATATCTACTGACAAATTCGAAAGTGCATCACCCAGTGGAGCAGTTGGAATTCTTACTAATGAGCTGAATCACATTAATTTATAATTACCAAGAAACAGAAAAATTTACTCAAATGACATAGTTGATGACGAACTGAAAACATCTTCAAAGGTTCTAAAGCGCAATGGATACCCCTCAAAGTTTACTAAGAAGAATTTGAGATTCAAAAAAATACTGAGGATATGCATATAGCTCGGAAAACTCTAATTATGAATGTTAATTGATTACTACAGTTGAAATCCTGAAAGGCTTGTAGGCCAGGTCACTGAGTAGAAGATCCCATAATCTCAAAATTCATTTTATCTCATTCAGTCGGCAAATGAATGCTCAGCGTGCTAAGGGCAAGCCACTGCTTTCAGCCACTCTAGTGTGCTTACAAGTTCGTTTGCTCCTATAAAGACAGTGGTATTGACTACACGAAGTGCATACTTTCCAAATGCATATCCAAGTAATACCTTGCATGGATGAAAACAGGACATTATAAACCAGTCACAAGACTGATTCTTGGTCATTTGGTCAATTGTGACCTCACTGATCCACTACAGTGTGCATTCGAGACTATCCACAAGATCAAAGGTTCATAATAGGTCCCATTTTGCATCTTATCCACAACAGCGGTACAGACAGTGCACTACTTCAGCCTGGGTTTCCATGTGCAGAGGAAATAGGACCACATGAATTTATTTAACTAATTGGTCGAAAGAAAAAGTTCTTCGCTTTATCTTCATCTCGTTAAGATGAAAATTCCTTTCATCAACCATATTAGTTGTTATACTCAGTCGTTCATTATTTTCTAATGAATTGAAGGTAACGTTCTTGCATCTCATCATCCCTATGTGCGTATATCAGTTTTTTCTCTCCTGTAGAATAGGACATATCAGTCTTTTCATGAGCACTCTTTCTAAACAGACGGAATCAGACTATCTTACGACACTACTGAATGATGGTAATACATAGTTAATACTTATCATTACAGTGTATATTAACGTAAATGAAGGCATAAGAATGTCTAGCAAATTTCTGTTTATGTCTAATGTATTTTATATTGTTCCTAAAACTGCCGATTCATGTCAAAAGAGTAAGTTTTTCATAAAACTTCGTGAAAGCATAATGCTCTACTGAAATTTGTTTTGTGATCTATGTTATAGATTAGGCTGTATCCGAGTTGAATAAGATCTCATAGACAAAGAGAAGTCGCCTGTCAGAAAGCCATCAACCTTAAATTATAACAATTTTCCTACCTTTCCTTTTCAAGTAACCTGCTAACAATCCTACTTCTACCTCAATAACGACTTAGTTTTGTTTTCTCATTGTATCAATAGATTTATCTGAAATATAATACAGTCATTTACTACAATGTGTTATTCACCACACACTGACATAATTTCGAGAACTACTAAAAACACTAGACAGTTGCTTTGTCTTAGCACGGGGTTCCTCAGCGGTGTACACATAATACCCCCACCGGCTGCTAAACCCCGGTCCTTCAGGTTGCTTAGTTAGCACGTTCCCATTGAGCCACTGGATCGGAATCCAATGGTTCTCATTTTCCTACACTTATGGATTCAGAATATAATGCGACCTTTATCCAACGTCACCGTTTTCATCAATGTTTGAAAACGTGAAAGAGCTGTAACTGACAGCAGTATTAAGATTTTAAATAAACAGGCACGTATTTATTTTGATAGATGAAAATTATTCGGAAGATGGTGTTCTTGATTTGTATAAATCGTTGACTTTCCCATGAGTATATCATCATACATGGAATAGGAACCTCATTGGAGAGGACATAAAAAACTAGTACACTTAGGCAAAGATATAAAGAGGGAGAGAGATAAGTTTTAAGTGAAGGATTGAAAGGAATAGAGTATGCTGCTGGAGACCCTGTACTAGGACAAAGCAGCTGTCTAGTGTTCCCAATTTCCCAATGTTTCTCCAACTGATGTCAGTCCATGATGGATACCAACCTGAAATCAATAACGAATCCCGATGAATTTCGAAATTAAATTAATCTAGTACTCAGCGATGACTAGCTTCGAGATGTGATTCCCGAAGTTCCAATGAGAAGTCATGACTGGTGGGACTAAATATACCGAATACAGCATTGTTGAACTCTAAACCTTTTGTAGTAATGATGGATAATGGCTAGCAGTGGAATCCAGGATGCACATTTCGTCTCATTTGAGACTCGCCAGCTGGATGTAGTTGCCTCCTAGTGAGTGATGTTGTTCTCACCGGAATTTGAACTCGTGAGCGATAACTTCAAAAGCTAGAACGCTATCCACCACACCACAGAGCTACGATGGCCACTTCTTGTGCGACGTGTATAGTTTTAGTATAGATCCTTGTATTATGCTTTGGTTGAACGGACCGAATTGATCGGTATCTGTTGGGATATGGACACTGTATGGATGCCTTGATATCACCTGTGTTTTAGTTGTAGTAATGACGATATTTCCGTTTATTTACTTTCCTGTGTTCAAGAGAAGCATAGATTTCCAAATGCCGAAAAAGATGTCTAAAACACTTTTATCTCTTTCATCTCAGCCAAAACTTTGTTTTTATATAGTGAGAAGTTGAATAATTACTGAAAAGTTACTAGTAAAATGTACATTAATTTTTAGCATCAAATCATTCATACCTATAAAGAAAGACAACATGCAACCTCAAACCTCCGCGTAAATTACTGTGACTATGAAAAATATATCCATTGGGCTATAAAAGGAGAAGCTGAAGTATGCTAGCTGAAGGACTGTTTTTAGAGACCACATTCTCATACCTATACAAACACTAATCTACATATTTTTTTCAGTGTTTAGATAATGTCTGGTCAATAAATATGATTACTCAAACACAGTAACAAACATCCAGAATGAAATTCTAATCACAAATTATTCACGACTGCTATGTAAAGTGAAGATCAATCAAAATATGACAAACTTCATAAGATTTCATAAGTGGTGTAACGTGACAAAACATTTAGACAATTAAGACTAAATGCTTCCCTTTTGAACATTACTGAAAAGCAAACTGGTAAAAACTTTGCTTATAATACTGAAATTTGTTACCCTGTGACAAACAATGTACAGTGTTGTATGTAAATTGATAGACGTTTATGAAACAAATTTGTAGTTTTGTTCATATGCTGGTTAACAAAACAGTGAAGTTTACTAATAGATAAAATCTCTGTATCAAAAGCCTTTCAGGGTCTCAGAGATAATGACTTTATATGTGCAACGTATCTCATGCAAACACACAGATATATCAGGGTGTCCAATAAACAAGCATGCCTAAATACACATTATATTGCATTCTAGTCAAGACCGCTAATTGAAATTGATGGAACACTTTGCATGCGTAAAAACGAAACGTTACTATCCAAGTTGAATGAGGTTGTTGAAACACATTAGGCTGACTCCTTGGCTTTTCATCAACTACATTCAACGACTTGATATCAATACGTTACCCTTCTTAGCTATCTGACAAGTACTTATGAGCACAATGGAACAGTACTAACTTGTTTCTACCCACTGATTTGTCTATTTTATGCAGTTTCTCACAACGATTCAGTCGAATAGCATACATATCATGGCTTGCGTCTGCAAATTTCATATTCAGTGGAACAGATTCGGTTCTTAGATTGAAATTAATTTTATCAAACTCTGAAATTCTCACTGCTGACACAAAAATGCATCTTATCTCAGAAAAATGTTTCGGTAATTAATTCCGAATAGCCGGTGGAATTTTTTCGTGATATACAGCTTTCAATGACAATGTTTTGAAGTTAATGATTCTCACAAGGATAGCGGCATCTCAAGTGGATTATAAACATATTGAGACTAAGATGGTTAATTTTTACCATTTTTTTAGTCGTTCAAGCATAATAAACAAACAGCTGGCAAATTCTTTAGTATCATCCATCGTCATTATGCTAGGCAGTGAAAGATCCCCATGCTTATTAATCACTTGATTCAAAGCGAATTAATAAATATCGTCCTACACAGTAAATACCTTCACATCAATAAAAACAAATAGAACACAAACCCCGTGATTCTTTACATTCTTTAATGGGTGAATACCTTTTTTTCACCATGTATGGAGTTCTACATTAGTTTAGTAACGGTTTCACTAAAAAAAGGCGCTATCGATTTCTCACAAAACCAGTGACTAACAGGAAAAAATATAAATACTCAGTAGTAGTACATAACTGCGCATATTTGTCATCCTGTTTACTCAGTTCACTTGGTTTTATAACAAATTGATTCACAGTCTTACACCAAGTTGATTTCGAAACGTATTATTATTCCCTGAAAATTATTTATTTTTCTCGATAAATACCTGAACAACCTCAGAAAAGTTTAAAATAACTTGTCCTCTGTCTAATTATCAGTCATTACTAATACACGTAAAAACTAATAAGAATCAGAGACAATGGTGTCCGCCGCAAAAATAATTTACCTGGTTGCCGTAATCACAGCAGTTGTATGTGCTGTTATAACAATAGTAATCAGCCCTTTTCTAAAACGTAAGTCAGAAATCTGTTTATTAACTTTTGGAAAAAGTTTTTAAATAACCTGTGATAAACAAACAGTTTTCTTCTCAATTTGTAATATAAGTGGCTAAAGCGTTACGTGCGTTAACCCAGTGGTTACTGTTTTACACTAATGGTAGAACGCTCTAGTGAATACACCAACCAACGGTCAAACAGATGCAATCCAGTTCTCAGTTCCTATGAAATTTAGTTGACTCAGGGATTTATTATTTGGCTCTTAGAATAAGTAGTGAAATATTAAACCGGAATTTGTAGGGAAGAGTAACCGATAAAAGCAATTATGAGAGGTTTTACTGTACTCAGGTTAAATTTTGCTTCATCTGCTGGGTATACTCATAATGTGAAACATCTAAGAATAAACTGAAATGATCATTATATCCATGTGGTTATTTGAATTGAGAAAGAAAATTTTTCAAAGTTCACATGAGTTATTCAGACTATCCTGAAGAATGATCTACATTTCAGAATAATAACTTTGAATACGAATCAGTAACGTTCTTGGAAACACCGATATTGGTAAACTTTTGAACTTATCTTTGTGATTTTCCAACAAAGTCGCCACTCTCAACATCAGAAGATAGTTTACACGATATGATGGGTTAACTTTAACAAAAACTCCTAGGAAGTTCGGTGTACTTTCTAAAAGCTGACCCACAACTGAATACTAGCTGAATTACATTAGAAGATGAGCATAACAAAAGAGCATTACCATGGCCCATAAAAACGATAGAGTTTAAATATTAGAGTTTCTTCGAAAACTTTTCATAAATACTCACAGTGAAACATAATAACATTAAGAAATCTCTTTGAAAAATTGAAAGGTATTTGAAAGCCTTTATTAAGTCGGAGGGTTGTCTATGACTCCACATGGATGTGGTATTTTTCCTCGAACTCTGATCTTTCTAATATTGTTATCTCAGGTGTGATTAGTCTAGAGTGAACGTTTTGAACTTTGGCACATGCTTTTAATGAATGTAGCACCTCTTTAGTACAATAGATCCTATCCCGTGTTTTCCGAGTCAGAACTATTCATCATACGATGTGTGTTGTCCATCTGAAAATTTCAACCTCCTTGTCGAGGTCTGAATGACGCTTTCAAATGACTGGAATCACGATTTCCGGTATTTTTAAGGGATGCACTTTTTGTTGCTATTGTATTTCTTAAGCCTCTGCTCCTGCTGTTTTACTCCGCTGCTTTTTGGGTTCATTGAGCTCTTCTAATGTCTGACTGATTATAAATAAACCTGAATAGACAGAAATGAGTGAAGTTGATCCATAAGTATAACAGCTGGTTTCGGGTGATTTATTCATTCAACCTTCAAGGTTAACAATTCAAAACTTCCACGTCAACCTTTTTATCTGCTGCTTCCACCCACAACCTTGGTTATGAAAAGCAATGACAAGAAAATGAAGTTCAGAGAACACCTAAACTCCATCAGATTAGAATTTCTTGTAGATATTCCTTTGCAAAAAAGATGTTTATGCTTAAATGTTGATGCTGAAACAAATAAAGTTCAACAGCAGCACTCAAAACCTCATCATACATTTTCTTTGCTGCACAGTGATGTATTTTACCTTTAACAATTGGATTTCGCAGAACGAGGCTGCCTGAAACATATGAAAGATTATTGAGTGAGCACCCTAAATTAATGCTTAACGTTCTAATTGTTTCATTTTTATTTAGCATGATGACTTTCAACTGGATATCACGTGTTCACATCTGTGAATGAAAATATAGATTTCACAGGTGGGGAGTTGATTTAGGACAAATCGTTTCGTTCGGTCTCATACTATTAGGAATATAGGTAATATCAACAGATGTAGGAAGTAATAAGAATAGCTCATAATCCTCATCACTAAGTAGACAAAAAACCTTTCATGAAGTGTAGAGAATAGTCAAAATAGGACAGTGAAAAATAAACTAAAATTTAATGTTTCAAGTTGTTATTCATCGAAGACTGACATCAGTTGGAGGAACAAAGGAAACCTGGGAGCATAGATAGATAGTATAGATAGTTGTATTCAGAAAAGAATGATGAGATCGACATTAGAGTAACTTGAAGTGAAATAAAAATTACTACCACTTTTTAAGAAGCCCACCGGAATGGTTTTCCATAGATACTGTCTAAAACAGTACAGATGTGAAGCTAGGACTTCAGTTTTCCAAGATGCTGAAGACGAGCTTTGGGAGATTTCACTTTAATTAAGGAGAATATTAAAAAACATATTACTTCTGAAATTCACCAACCAGTGTTCATACAATGTTTGGTCATCACAATGGTGATAGAGGTTCATTCCTGCCTACTACCTACAGAGCTGATAGCTCAGTATGTGACATATCTTTCTACATGGGATTGAAGAAACTAAAAAGAAGCATTTAAGTAGTTAGAGGAGACAATCCTGTTATAATGTAGGAAGAGACTTCATAATATTACTGTTAGAAACTAAAATATATATTTCATAAAAGTATTCACTTTCCCTCATCTTGAGGTCTATTTTGTTAGAACCCAATCCCGAATCATCCAATGTTTTTCAGTTTAACTTCCATTACCTTGTCCCCCTGTTATTTTCCCGAGTCGATTTTATTTCTAAAACATCTTATGATATTTTACCAATCAGTTCACAAACTTACGGCAACTTAAAACATATATTTGACGAATAGGTCTAATGAAATTTCTCTTCTGCTTTTGAAATCAGCTTTCTTGCACACCAAACAATAGCATCATGATCGTGATTGAACTTACTAGTTATTCTAAAGTACAGACGTGTTCATCACTGCTAACAGTAAAACTAATGGTGTTACATAATTCTATCACCGGAGGAACAAAAAAGTCGGGACCATTCACTCCAGAAACTAAACTTATTACCTGCCTTCTGTTAAATGAAACTTTCTCTGTCAGTGCTTTTTTGTTGGTAGTACAAATGCAGTTTGCTATTATTTACACATTAAAAAACCCATCTAAATCATATGGAAGTTTCGAAATGTTTGTTCATAGTTTCATTTTGCAAAACGGTGACGGAAAACTGTTCAGTTCCTTAACTTATAATTGATTATCAGCAATTCCAGGAGGCAAGTGTATCATATCGTAGTTCAATATTTCTATAACATATATCATTTCCTCAATTCTCACTGATACCTAATACTTATGAGTTCAAAGAGAGACAGAATGAATATCAACAAATGCTTAGCAAAGTTACATGCCACCGTGAATTCTCTTATCAAATAACTTCCATAAGCACTGAACGCTGTTTATTATAAAACCATTTAACAATCATTGCTAAATTCATTTCCATTTTACCTTGTTTTCCTGTAATAAGAATTTAGCCTTTGTGTTAGCTTATTTATTGATTACTACCTGGAAAATTTCTGTGCAAAATGAAACATATTTTATTTGTCCTCTGAACTGCCGGTTTAATATGTTGAAATCAAAACGACTGTGTCCAGATTTATGTGAAAAGGAAGGCATGCTCAGGAAGAAAAGGGAGTAATAGAACTAACTGGACACTCATAACTAGGATTGCATATACTTTTATTCTTATATTGCAGATAATGGTTTGGCAACCAATCAACAAAAAGTTAGCTTGGCATTCATTATCATTGGAACGATCTTTCTTGTAATAGCAGCAATTCTTGTGATCGTGACATTTGTCAGAATTGATTCACTACTCTTCATGATTGTTATTGTTATACTTTTGGCTTTAGCAAGTAAGTTTCTTAGATATACTGCTTAAGTATTGACTTTAAGTTAACTAACCATTTCCTAATATTAAATTAATAACCTGTAAAGACAGTCAGTCATATTCTTATGAAACTAACATGATCACAGTCAAACAAAATTAAAAATTATGCGTTACTATGTTCTGAATATTCCACTGGTCCTGAACTACCCCTTCTCTGCTTTCCCATATTCTTCTTAGTTATGGCAATATTTCATGGATGTATTTCTTTATACGTAGCGAGAAATAGTGTGGGAAAAAACTGAGTGACAATAATATGAATCAGTTTTATTATTTTATTGGTTCTGATCAGCTGTGTACTATCAACAATATCTAAAACAACGAATAACAGTGATCTTTTAAAGTATTTTATTTCACTGAACAGAAAACAGCCAATGGTTAAGACGAAGTAGAACAACGACTTAGTGAAGTCAGGAAACCGTGAGAGATAAAATGAATTTGGAATGTCATACCTCATTAGAACGAAAGCTCCACTAATAAATAAATGGGATTAGTAGCACGAAATTTGTGAGAAATGGAAACAAAGACTGAGTAAGTCAGTGAGTAGATAAATTAGTTATGGTCACAAAACAAAATCCAATGAAATTTAGTGAGTAGAACTCAGTAGAGAAAAGGACTCAGACGATTAGGAGAGTTGAATCACTCATCCTCCTCCCATTAGTGTAGCATTTTCCACCTAATAAACCGTAAAAAACCACTGATTAAGGCCTCTATTTTCAATGCACAAAGATTATTTTAACTTGATGAACTGGAGAGAGAGTTATCTTTGCTCGAAACATTTCTAAAATTAAATGGATACCCAAAATCTTTATCAACGAATGCTGTAGAAGGGAATGTAGCAGAGAAAGGAAGCATTTTGGTCTGTAACAAGCTAGGCTCCATTAACCACAACACTAAAAGCGATGATATTCTGATGATAACAAACAAAAGAATAAGAACTGCATTGATAGGAGCATGCGCATCAGAACTGTTAGTTCACGGCGCTTGTATATTCGTTGTTGTTAACAAAATATCTGATAATTCACATTCAAAACGTATGTGACTTGTGTTTGCATAGACCATCGCATGAAAAACATTCACTAAAAGGGACTATAAGCAGTCACCTATATAGTTTTTTATTCGGGAAACCACTAATCAGAAGCCTTAGATACCAAGATGATTTTTTCATCACATAATGGGTGCCACATCTTATAATAAAAATTCTTCCACAGAATAGGAATATAACATATGTTGCATAAACCTTTTTTCACCACACTGAAGTGAATTCATTTTCCTTCATAACAGGTCCTCTCCTTTAAAATATTCTTGTTTTGACGATGAAAGGTCAGACGAAAACGTTTACCTAGTTCCCCTACATCTCACTCCGAAATAAATCAAACTAGCTAAAGCCATTTAATCAGAGGAAAGGTAGGATGAGAGGTAAAGTTTTTAATCATCACTGGTTATGCTGTCAACTTCTGCTGTTTTATAAAAATCTTAATGTAATTCATGTGATATAAATAATTTCTTACATGTGAACTTAAGCTTAGTACTCAGCGAAAGGAATTTGTTTCGGATCACTGTCTATATATATATCTATATATATTTCTTTGACTGATTAATTGGTGGAACAGACTTATTTGAATGTGCTATTTATCATTAAATGATACTGGTCCAAAATCAGTGGAAAGGAAAGTGCATTAAAAAGGTCCTAATTCTTCTACATAGATCATTTTCATGTTTCTACTTTCATTCCGTTTACATCCAACTTAAGCTCTTTAATACTAGCTTTCAACAGGTACCTTTCTGAAGTGACGGAATCAAACTAAACAATATCCTCTAAATTTTTCCTGTAAACCACAGAATGACAAAATTTTGCAAGTGAAATTCATTCTCTGAAATATCAAGAATGAAGGAAACTGGAAAATGATTATATGACTGCTACCCAACTTAAAAATCAGAAGCTTTCGGCTTTGTTTTCGTAGAAGTTTCAGTATGTATTTCGCTTAATCGTTTCAAGATATGCCAAAGCAACTATCAAGTAGCTGGTGACTTTTGCCCATCTTTAAATCCTCCTCTTCATGAATAGAACCATATTTTTTGGTGAATTAAACCTCTATTTAGTCAATACATGTCACATTCAAGTTTGCTTTCATTCGTCAATGGAGTGACACACAAGACGAATTTGAAGTAACCGACCGTCCATCTTTGCTTTCTCATCTTTCAAAACAACTGACCATTGCAGGTATTGGGATTTAATTCGAATAGAAGTTAAAAAATATGTAACATTGAATATTTGGCATCCATTCTAACACTATGTTTCTTTTTCTTCAGTACTGTGCTTCATCATCGCATTGGTTGTCAATGACGCAAATCCTGGGTACTTAGGATGGTTATTAGCTGCTCTGTGGGTGACATTCTTATGCTTGCTTATTGCAGTCATTATATGGGTCACAAATACTGATTAATGAAAAAAAAGTGTGTATGTATATACATTTTAATAGTTAATCTGTAATACTTGTAAACACCTTTCTTCTCCCGTGTACCAGATGAAAAAAATATATAACGATTCTATGTTTAAAAACGTGAAGAAACAAAGCACTTTTCCCAAGTTTTGGTTAAAAGTCAATCATACAACTCATTTTTACTAGTTAGTTTGCTTTGTTAAAAAAGATTAATGTTTTGAGTTAATATTTGCATATTGTGAGAAGAAATATCAGCTTCTCTTTGATTCTATAAATATTTTGGACTTGTGATTATTAACGGTGAATATCACATTTTTTCACTGTTTTAACGAAATGCTTGACAGAAAGTCAACATAGTGGATATATGAATATCTAATGAATGACATTTCTGATGAAACTAAACCAGATGATCATTATAGGTTGCTATGAAAGAATAGGTTATTGCTAGCTGTTGTGTAGACCAATATTGCTACCTGTCCTAAAAGTTCATTTTTGATTGCTACGATTTTTTTCTAAAGTAACTTTTTTAAAGTCCACAAAAGGTTTATGCGTTAGCTTGAAATGTCAGAAGTTAACTTAAATGTGCATAAAAGCAGCACGAAAATGACCATTCATGTTAACGATTTACTGATGTAGAATAGTGATTGCTTTGAAAAGCAAGGTAATTAAACAGAATGAACAGAATGCAGTAAAAGTAATTATCACGCTTCTTTTAGGAAATGCTTAGAATTTTCTACTTTGAGGCAGGGATTGCAAAAATTTCGAATAATATTCTAACCAAGAATTTTACTTTATTTTATCACATAACTGTTACTGAGATTATTCAGTTTTAAACTTATACTTTTTTGGAGATGAATGAAGATTTTTAACTCAGAAGTAGTATTCATAATGGACTGACATCTATTGGGGAACCATTGAAAATCTCGGAGCACTGGACAGCTGTTCCGTCCTAGTATGAGACTCCTTAACAGTACGCACCCACGACCTGACTATGGATCTAACTCAGGACCTTCAAGTTTCACAGCGAACGCATTAACCATTCAGCCACTGAGTCGGTTTCCCGTGAGCTGTTTCCAGAAACGGATGCTAACTGAAGACCGTGGGTGGTAGTCACGCTATGCCGTGACAGGAGTTGAAAGTTGTGAACCACTAGAAACCGACTCAGTGGCTGAATGGTTAATGCGTTCGCTGTGAAACTTGGATGTCCTGAGTTAGATCCATAGTCAGGTCGTGGGTGCGTACTGTTGAGGAGTCTCATACTAGGACGAAACAGCTGTCCAGTGCTCCGAGATTTTCAATGGTTCCCCAATTGATGTCAGTCCATTATGAATACTACTTCTAAATTATATTGTTTTGTAGTTTCTAACAAGAATAGTTTTCAGTCTTTTAACGGAAAATGTCCTACATAAACAGACTTTGTCAGACGTCAGTCTTTTAATGTCTGTAAGTAGTACACTATTTAGATGGGTTTAAATCGAACCGAAATGTTGGATCATCCTTAAAAACCCAAAGACTCAAGCAAAATAATTTCACTTTGCTCGAATTCTGCATTCGTTGGCTACTCACAAACGATGATATTACGCTTCACGAATTCAGTTATTGGATGATGTATATATAAACCAAAAACGCGCTGATGTTTATGAAATCTTAAAGTCCCAAGTCATACAACAGATCAAGACAGACTTTTACTGTCATATCATTCCAGTAGAAAGGGAAATACACAGCTACCGCATTTCGTTGTTGGTTGTTTATTCCAAAAGTAATTCTAGTTTACCTCAGAAGCTCTTACTAAACATAAACTGCTTCTGGTTTTTCAAGACAGTAATGATAAGGAAAGATGACTATTTTCATAACTTCTCATCATTATATGGTACTGGATGATAACTTAAAGCGGAGTAACCTTGTAAGCCACGGCAAGATTCGAACCAGCGACCACAAGCTTTCTGATCTGGTGCTATACCAACTTAGCTACGAGACCAGACTCCTGACCACATATAACAAACGGACTGAAACGGAATTACAATCTCTTACTCCTATAGGAATGCAAGTAGATTGTAGGGAAAAAAGTTGTGGAACTAAGGTCATGGTAGCAAAATGAGGCTGAACAAAATGCTTATGCAGACAGAAATCTGGACTATCGTTGTGAATGGTCAGAGCTTACGGCTTATAAAGGTGTAATCAAAATCCTTCGAACGGCTTAATATCAACTTTTATGTCACATGTATTGAGTGCTGAATTGATCCTGCATGACATGACAGAGCAATATATTCCAAAATCGAATTGTTTATCAATCTAGATTCCGTTTTCGATAACTTTGCCGGTAAGTATTCGTGAGAATGCCCTTACAGTGTCCTACCAATACGGCCTATGTACCCAGACACACGGGAGCAGGTTTTTGCTAACTGTGGGAATTTCTTTTTTGACGTTTGACGACCGACAGCTAGTGTGAAGAAGGTTAGATGTACGGATACAGAAAATAACGTCCTTCGAACCGCTTCAGCTAGGTGAGCTTGTAGAACTTGACTCACTGTGTCACCTCTGAATTTCAGGTTCAAATACAAGTATTTCTTGGGTAGGCTAACGTTCTGTGAAACGTCAGATCTCTTCCTTACATATTTAACAACAAATGAGGTTTGATATCCATTCTAAACTAGAGCTGTTTAGAAGAATCTCAGTTCTCTATCCAATGTGTCATTTGCACACATACGACAGATTCGTGTAGTGTAACTTTTTCTGCTTATAGAGACAAAACTAATAATTCATCAATTGTCCTTTCTATCAAGTTTATGGTAAACCGATCTTTGAAGTGATCCAAATCGTTCATACTCCTTTAAAATAGTTTTAAAAGTGCTTGAAACAACCTGAGGTACCCTTATATAATGCTTTAGAAAACTCAAGCTCAAAGCAGATAATAACATTTACTTGTTTGTTTCATCTAAATGGCGCTCAACGAAATTTCTTATGATACAGTCTTAATATTGGTTGTAAATATGAAAATTTCTTCAAGTGCGATTGTTGATCATATGTTTTCCGAATTTCGTCTTATATCTTTCACAGATAACCATCTGTGAAAGTAACTGTTTACAGATATAAGACGAAATTCGGAAAACATGTGATCACCTCCTGAGAAAGGGAAGAAGATATTGCTACTTTCGATTGCTTCCAGTGATTATTTGAGCCACTAGTGAAATATATAAGATATTATTGGGAAAATAATGTGTTATACTTCCCTCAGATGTAACAGTAAAAATATTTTTGATATAATAAAAAATTCTCACTGAACCATAGGACGGAAAATTTTGAGAAAAAGATTTTCTTTTCGTCGATATCCTTCACTAAATGTAAGCGTACGATTTAGACACAACAGTAGAATGTGATTTCACACTAAACTAGTCCGTTCGATACAGTCCATAGTGATGTAGTATTATTTGCTATGTGAAGCTGTATGATTACCTTGATACGAATATGAGCAACAAATTGTGCTCAAAATGTCACCTAATAAATAATACTATATCACATTGTGCTCTTTACAAAAGACTAATCTGGCATTCAATCGTCTAGTAAAGCACTCAGTACTGGTGATTCAATAATAAAATGTTATTCTTTTGTCAATTTCACTATCTGAGATAGCTGTAGTTTAATGGCCCTGTAATGATATTGGGTCACGATTGAAGGCGAAATGAAAATCTGAGCCGCAACAAAATTCGAACCAACAACCTCCAGGCTACCTGTATGAGTTGAGTTATGAGACCCAGCTGCATACTAGATCTTAATTTCACTTCTATTATCAAGAGTTCATACTACTTACAAATACGAGTATACAGCTTTAGTGAATGATATCTTCGAAAAGAACATTTTCTTGGATGAATCGTTTTCTTTCTTCCATGTTTGAAATTTTTCCTAATGCTGTTGTAATCAATGAGTTACTGAGTATAATTAAGCAATTCTAATTAAGCGAAGTTTGGAATGTTAACAAAATAAATGATTGTGTTTTTTTCTTTTGGAACTATATTGAATTTGATTGCTGGTCTAAGTTCGTCTTTCCTGTAGATTTCAACAGCTTGTGACTTTTTGGATTGGCAGCATCTCTCATTGCAAAAGTGTGAAGGGTTTTTTAATCAGCTAGTCGATAGCTTTCTGACTGCTAAATTTATTTCTTTATTCAAACATTTGCCATCATATTCTCAACTAACTCAAATGTCTATATCTATACACAATCTCGAATCGGGCTTTATTGAAAAACGTAACACATGTGTAACCTGTACATATCTGTTTGGAAAACATATATGTGATCGTTGATTTCAAGTAGTGAATTCTAGCTTAGCATTAAGAATGAGAAACGTAATATAACGGTTTCTGCTACTTCGTCTGACTGCTTTGAGCCATGTAATCGCGTGTGATCATATCTAAAAACCGGTCTTTTACATAACTTGAAGGATTTTTCTTTCTAGTACGAACGGAATTTCATGAAATGTAATGTGGTTTGAGTTTTTAAGCTTTTTGTGAAGGTCTTGCCATCTTCAATTCAGGGGGTTTAAAGTTTTCATTTAAAATCACCTAGGAAATTCTGTTTTTCGGTTTGCAGTTAGGACCTTTTACAGTCTATAATATGATGAAGCGAGTTAGTATAGATTATCAGCAAACATTAACGAAAATTTCTTCAATAGGACAGCTTAATAATGCCAAAATCCTTTAAAAGACTATTATATTTCATGACTGATATATGCCGATCCACTTGAATCATCGGAAGTAAAATTTAGTAGCAACTTTAAATTTCATTATACTTAGTCTTATAAGAGAATGCCGTTTAATAAGAATAACATTTACAAATATATCTGTCGTCACATATCTCAACCCGAGTTATCGTAGCCTATAAGAATGTCATTAGACCATGAAACCATTGCAGCGTTAAACCAGTGGTAAAAAGGTTAATGAGAAGAGATGATTCAGTCGAAAATTCGCCTAGCTCTTTTGCCCACACACCATCAGATCGTCAAGATATACGCTTCAGCATAACTTAAGGGAATCTGCTCGTCTACTTCATTTGCAATCAAAAAGTTACATGAATAGTATTTAAAATAAAACCTGGGTACTTAATGATAGTAGTAATGATAGTAATAGCATCTAAAGTTCAGATTAAGATACTTTGTATTTAAATGGTACAAAGTGAAATAAACTCATTAGTTTAAAAATGTCTGCCAATCAATGAACTGCAAGTTGTCAGCAGCTAAAATTGGCAGTTCATTTACTGTTTAGGATTTATTCTTGTTGTAAACAAGAAAAATACTTTTAACGTCAATCATGTAAATATTATTCATATGCTCATACAACGATA